CCTGCTTGAAAGATACACACAATTAACACAGAGCAATGTGGACATTGCATGACGTGAGTCCAAAACCATTTTGGGAGATAGTTTTGAACAAACAAGGCAAGAAAAACTACATTTTACAAGTGGTCATGACAGGAAAGATGAATCCTTGCTCATTTGCTTGAAGTATCTGGTCGTGAGGAAAGCTCACCCAAACACCCTGTGTGGCAGCTTCAGAGGTAACCTTCCTTCCAGGCATCTGGCAAGCCTACAGTGGCGATGTCAAACAGATATAACACAGCAAATTCATTTTATTTCTCCTCAGAGATAATATCTGATGAGAAAGACAAAGTTTTAGAATATCGGTGTCCAGTTTCACATATACAAAAAAATAGGCATAATAGCTTGAAAATACTCAGTGCATGTCCAAAACATAGAACTCTAAGCAATTCTAAATTATTTTATATGTATGTTTATAGGATGTCTTGAGGCCAATTAAAATGAATATTTTCAAATTTTTGAATATATTCTAAATATTTTCTGAGTTATTACAGAGAGAAGTAATTTGCATTCGGTAATTTGCATCAAAACAGAGAGAAGTAGTAATAGTTCTCATTTCATTCTTTCATTTCCTTCCTCATGCCTCTTTACAAATCTAAGAGAAATATTCTTTAAAATATTTTTWAAAAACTTGATTTTTGTAATGATAGTCACCTCTGTGTTTGACTTTTGAACAAGATGATAAAGCAGCTCATATTAATTCATTTGTCTATCGGATGAAAATTAGAAAAGCATACAGAGCATCCAGCAAACAGCTTCCTATAGAAAYGTAGCAAACCCAGAAAGAAATATTCAGCTATGATCAGAATTCGGGCCATTTAGTTCTATAATCTCAGCCTTACTTTGCTTTGTGACATCCTTGCAACTCAAAGACTGGCCCAGAATCATACCCACCAAAATGGGAACAGTCTGTTCTCAGGCAAGTTCCACCTTGGGTATCCGCCTTGTCTCTCATCTTCCCCCATATTCCTACGGAGTATGGGCACTTTCCTTGGGCATCCCCTGGCCATTCTGACCCCTTGTTTCCTACTTTGGTTTTTGAAGCAGGGAACAGCCATGGGCAACAGCACAAACRCAGCAGATGTCACAGCCTGTGTTGCAAGGAAAAACATTTTTGCATGGAGTGTGTCAGGGCAACAAAAACAGAACAGCTAAAACACAGGGAAGACTTCCCTAATAGGGTTTACATGAGGCACCCCGGGCACTGAAATTAAAAAAGAACAAGTTGTAAAGTGTTTCCCACCACGATTTCCACAGATTGCAACTCATTTACATGTTGTCGTAATCCTCTTCCCGTACCACATTGATTGCTGCCCACCTATCCCCACTGACAGCCTGATCACAGCACAGGAATAGATGGTTTTATGYCAAGGATTAATTTGATTCTCGGCATTTTCTATGTTTCTGAGGGCAGATATTCTTTTGTTCCCCTTCTTCATTGATAAAATTGTGACCATTTTATGCTTTTGAAAAGCAAGGTCCTGAATCTGACAAATTAATGAAGAAATTTCTCTTTTACATARTATAAAAAAGCCCTTAAATGCCCAAGTTAGAATCCTGCCTATTTATCAGGTCTCATTGTTGTCCAAGTGATGTGATAAACTGATCAAAAATGACCAGCAATTTAAATATGAAGGCAGTAGAAAATAAAAGAATATGTCTGCATTATTAGTTTTCTGCAGTAATTTGCTGTGTTCCACTAGAAGAGGATAGAAATGTGAAAGATGATGCTGAGTATTTCTGCAAAACAGGTATCTTTACAGAGTACAGTGAAAATTAATGTGGTTTGACCTGATGGTTTAAGAATCTACTTTATATTTATGATCTAAATCCTCTCCACTGGTGATAATAATACTGAAAAATAGAGATAATCCTTTCATTGTTTTCCAGGCAGTTACTTTTCAAGAGCTTTAAAACRGTTAGAAAAAAATGCATTAAAGGATGTAATCTCTGCAAGTACAGCTAGAACTACATCTAAGTGATGTGAAAGTGCATGTGGAATAACAGGATTCTGTGAGAGTCTTTCCAGTTTTTAAGCTAATATAAAGCAAAGTAGAAAGACTCCTCCAGAAGTTTGTTCCAGAGTGCATGTTGTWTAGCACTGTCTAGGAAGCTGCTTCACCTAATCACAACGTGAGACATCAACTGTGTTGCTCCAGCTTTCATTTGGAGGCTCGAGGACGTCTGGCAGTTATTGCTAGCACATGTAATGCCCACTTAGGGCACATAAAAYTCACAAAGCAGGAAGTGTGTTAGATCCATTTGCTTTCAGATACCACCACTTTCCATCACATGGGAGACTATCCACTGCTGGGGCAGTCCGATTAAAATCAAATCTCTGTTGGAACTCTCATTAAAAGTCTTATTAATACATAAAATGTTATCACCGTAATGAAAAAGTAGCTCCTTCCTCTCAGATAGCAGTCTCACAGAGATTCGGACCGAGCATCTGCGGTAACACAAGTACGTGGGCTATAATGTCAGTGGCAAAACCACGTTGTGAGGGATCTCGATAGGAAAGTAAGATCACGGTGAGTCAGTATTTGGCTGAACGGCTGCTTGCAAACATCTAAACAGTCAGCTGCTTTGAGGAGTGTAATGGGTGATTCAGCAATACTGGGAATATTCTTCAGCTGAATTACTCCCGAACCACAAAGCGCTAACGGATGGGCTGGAAAATTAAGATCTACTGAATAACTTCAGTAGATTAAAGGACTTATATCACCTCCTGGAAACAAGAGCTTTCAACTCCAAAGGTTGTTTCGGCTTAAAATGCTAATACAATGCAACCAGAAGTGGAGCTTTCCCTGCATGTATTATTCTGTAGCTGAGCAGCTGTGTGACAACTTCATGAAGTGCAGCACACCGTCTCCGTAGCATCCTGCAAATTGTTTTGGGTGAAAAGGTCGTGTTTGTTACTCTGCTGCAAAACTAGTAGTGACAGAAACATTTATTAGGGACAAAGTCTCTCTCCCTTATTTTATGATATTATATATTATTATATACTTCCTCTCTTGGCATATTGTATCATGGGGATTAATCCATCCCTGACTAGGGGTCCCAAGGAGCAGTTATCTGCAAGGGAAATGCTATGGATTCAACTCAAGGTAACGCCAAACCGTAGCATCCATTGTTGTATTCCACTTTGCAGGAATGGCACGTGCAGCCTGGTGTATTCCGCAGTGCTCCCAGGAGGAGCACRTCCCAATGGAAAGAGCACACGGATGTCCCTGTGGGGCTGAGCCCGGCTCCTGCACGCCCRGCCGTGCAGAGGGGCAGCACCGGGGCCACACGAGGCAGGGCAGCTTCCCACTGGCTACTCGCCCCCAAAAGCGCCAGCACTCGCCCCTGTGCCCCGGCACTTGGCACAGGAGAGGGGGAGGCCGGCCCGGCTGTGCCCAGCGCAGCCACCATCACAGCACCCAGCCCTCTCCCCTGCACCCTCCCCTCAGCTCCCTCTCCCCTCAGCTCCCTCTCCCCAAGGCCTCCCTCGCAGCGCCCTCTCCTTGGCGCCCTTCCCTCAGCCCCTGCCTTCATCAGCCCTCTCCTCAGCCACCCTTCCCTCAATGCCCCTCTCCTCATCACCCCTTCCCAAAGCCTTCCTCCCAACACCCCTTCCCTCAGCACCTCTCCCCATCATCACAGAATCAAAGAATCACAGAATATTCAAGGTTGGAAGAGACCTCTAGAGATCAACCTTCCTGCTCAAGCAGGCACACCTAGAGCACGTGGCACAGGGCAGCATCCAGGCGGGTTTTGAAGACCTCCGGAGAAGGAGACTCCACAACCTTCCTGGGCAGCCTGTGCCAGGGCTCTGTCACCCTAACAGTAAAGAAGTTCCTCCTCACCTGGAGATGGAACTTCCTGTGCTCCAGCTTGTGGCCATTACCCCTCGTCCTATCGCTGGCCACCAGTGGAAACAGCTTGTCCCATTCCTCCTCCTTCCTGAACTTATACATGTTAATCATATCCCCTCTGAGCCTTCTCTTCTCCAGAGAAAACAGGCCCAGTTCACTCAGCCTCTCCTCGTATAGGAGATGTTCCATTCCCTTAATCATCTTAGTTGTTCTCCGCTGGACCCTCTCGAGAAGCTCCACGTCCCTCTTATACTGGGGAGCCCAGAACTGCACACAGTACTCCAGGTGCGGCCTCCCCAGAGCTGAGCAGAGGGGCAGGATCCCCTCCCTTGGCCTGCTGGCAACATCCTCCTGATGCAGGCCAGGATGCCATTGGCCTTCTTGGCCACGAGGGCACACTGCTCACTCATGGTTAACTTAGTGTCAACCAGGACTCCCAGGTCCCTCTYCGTGGAGCTGCTTTCCAGCAGGTCGACCCCTRATCTGTCCTGGTGCCTGGGGTTATTCCTCCCCAGGTGCAGGACCCTGCACTTGTCCTTATTGAACCTCATGAGGTTCCTCTCTGCCYAACTCTCCAGCCTGTCCAGGTCCCTCTGGATGGCAGCACAGCCCTCTGGAGTGTCATCCCTCTCCTCATCACYCCTTCCCAAAGCCTTCCTCTCAGCATCCCTTCCCTCAGCTCCTCTCCCCATCATCCCTCTCCTCAGCTCCCTCCCTCAGCCTCCTGTCCGCAGGTGCCTTCCCGTTCCCCTCGCTGCCTCGTTCCCCTCGCTGCCCCTCTCCCCAACGTCCTCCCCTCCGCCGCCTCCGTTGGGCGCCGCGGCACCAGCGCGCCGCGAAGCGCCGCCCCGCGGCCGCGGAACGGGCCGGGCCGGGCTGGGCCGGGCTGGGCTGGCCGGGCCGGGCCGGGCCGGGCGGGCAGCAGGTGCCGGGAGAGGGGCGGCAGCAGGCGGGCGCGGCCAGGGGGAGGAGAGGCCGCGGGAGGCCATAAAGGCGGCGGGCAGGGCCCGCCCTGGGGCGGCGCTGGTGCCGGTGCCGGGCGGGCTCCGCGCTGCGCCCGGCCGGGGCGCCGCGATGCCGGCGGCGCTGCTGCTGCTCTGAGGCGCCATGGGCTGCGGGGGCAGCCGCGCCGACGCCATCGAGCCGCGCTACCACGAGAGCTGGACGCGGGAGACCGAGTCCACCTGGCTGACCAACACGGACTCGGAGAGCCCGCCGCAGGGCGACGGCGCCGCCGAGCCCGCGCCGCGCGCCGGTGAGTGCCCGGGCCCCGCGTGGGGAGACGTTCCCGGTGTGGCAGCGTTCCCGGTGGGACAGCGTCCCGCGTGCGGGGAGGAGCTGCCCTGGCGGGTGCTGCGCTCCCCTTGGAGTTTCCCATTCCTGCCCGTTCCACAGCGTGTCTGGTTGTGCCTTGGAGCTGCTGTGGATGAGGGAGGCTGGAGGAGCTGGGCTGCTGTGAAGGGCTTGAAAYGTTCCCAAGATTTGCCGTGTTGGGATGGTGCTGAGAAGCCCCAGTGAGGAGGGAAGCCACAGTTGTGCTGGGTGTTGCTTTATACGTCGTGCTGGACATTGCTTTATACAGACGCAATGCAAAGGTGGTTGATGCCCCAAGCAGATTATAATTTGTATATAAAGTACTATCTATAGACATATATAGCTTCAGGGGTTAAAAAGTAGCTTTGGTGATATCTATATTGAGCTACAAAGTATCAGGAAGAAATCATGGATGTGCATGATGGAAAACACCTAACAGTTGGCACAGCTGGATAACGGGAGTTGTCAGGAGGGAGGAAAGGGAAGGACAAGAGAAGTTCCAAAGGGTTAATAAAAGGCCAATATATTGCAGTAACCACGTATGAAAGTGAGAATTTGAAGGTGAGTTGAGCTACAAAATACTGTACTAAAATAGGTAAGGAATTTCAAGTTTAAGATGGTAGTGGTCAGTAAGCTGGAATGGCAGGTGAGGCTGTGGTCTCCAACAAGGAAGGATGGACATAGCAAGGATGGCCTCAGCAGGAATATTTAGTCTTCTCATAGCCATGACTAGTCTGAGTTGGTGACAAAATGTCACAGGTAGAAGTCGGTCTGAGATTTCATATTGAGTAGGCAATGATAGAGGCAGAAAATTCTACACAGAAATATATGATAACTGAATTTGTGTTTGCAGATGAGAACACCAGAGATAAGGAGAAGAGGACAAAAGACATCAATCACTCAAGTCCAGTAGAAAATGATAGGGTAAGAGAAGCTCTATCTGCCACCATGCTGGAGAAGAGATTAGAGAAGAATGAGGAGAGGACAGAGCAATGGGCACAAAGGGATGCCCAGACAGCAAAACGGTGACAGTTACTGAGACATTTGTAGCAACCAGCAGGTTAAGGAATTCACATCGGTCCTAATTAATGCCTAAAAAGGTACTTTGAGAGCTGTTGTTGGGTAATGCTTGATGCAGGAGAGAGTCTGGAAACACATAAGGAGAGGTACTTGGYGCCTAGAAACAACTCGTTTGATGAAACTGCAGAGGCAAGGGAGAGGAAGCAGCAATTGGAGAGGCAAGAGAGGTCAAGTGTGGGTTTCAGACATGAGAAGAAAAGCATGGTTTTATTGTGAGCACTACAGAACAGTGAGAAACAAGAAGAGGAGGGGGAGAAGAAAACCTTGGAGGAGAGCAGGAGATAGGATGTGACATGGGAACAAAGGGAGGTAAGAAATGTCTATGGCTGTGGTACAGATAAGGAGTCGGTCAGTTAGAAGGGAGACAAACCCAAGCCTCCAGAGGAGGAGAGAGTGAAGCTATTGCTATTTGTCTCTCCCCCGCCCCGCCTGCCGAACAAATGGGTGAAATTCTATGAAAAGACAAAAGTAATGACAGAAACAACATATTTTCAAGAATGAGTCAAAAGCAATAAAAGGTGGCTGTTTGTTGGCATGTTTTAATTAAATTGGGGGGGGGGGGGAAGTGTTAAACAGTGCTTTGCCCCTTTTCATTTTGATGTCCAGTTGAGTATGGAAGAACATTCAATATATAGAGTCAGCAAGCATAAGAAAAGGTAGGTAGCTCTCATATTAATCTTAGTATTCTAATCCCATCCAAGCTTTGATTATATCCTTTTGTGTTTGCCCAGCAGCATATTTAGCTCTCTACGTTTACGTTCTAGAATGACACACATTTATAGCAAAATGTTTGTATCTTTACTAACAATGTTTTGATAGTTACTCTTAATTAAAATGAAGTAATATTTTCTTTTTCCTTTACTTTTCCTTTATTCCTATTTTAACTTTTAAAAATACATTTTCAGTTCTTTGATGTTTCCACAACCATTTTTAATAAAGGATCTTGTGATGCTTGTATTTCTTTGTACAAAGAARTGAGTTTCTTTGTACAAATCTAAGAAATAAGCTTGCTGTATAGAGTGCAGGGAAGGAGTTAAAGGAGCACTCACAGGGAAACTGGACAACAGCAGTTTCTTGCATGCACATCCATCACTGGGYGAGCTAAGAACTCTTCATGAGATTCAGCTAATGTGCAGGCTATAGTTGGGGAAAAGAGATGCCTTCTGCTTAGTAACTGGTCCTTGATCCTCCTGACCCTTTGCACAACGTCCCAGCTCTCTTTCAACAAACTGATTCAGCTAAGTGGAGCTGTTGGTGAGAGTAAAAGCCTTCCTGAGGATGTAAGGAAAAAAGGAACTTACATGAGAACTGAAGTGTCTTGGAACATGTTTCTGTGTTCTGCTGCATTGTATTGGGATAAAACTTTTATATATGTGTATATACACACTCACACAAATATGTAGATGTGTGTGTGTATGTAGCACACCTAAATATGTGTAGCACATGTTTATATATATACACATATATATGTATATATATACATATACATACGTATATACATATATATATATGTATATATATATATAAAAACAAGCTAACAACTTAAGCTGCATGATTTCCTACCAGAAACCAGCATTACCAAAGTGTTTTATAATCCCATTAAGGAGCTACTACAATAAAACTGAGTATTTTTTCTAAAGTGAACTTTGTGTGATGTTATTTCTATTTCTTTGTGGTTTTCAGTGACTAAATTAGCTGCTGTATTAACAAATGTGCTTTCCTTTATTATAGTTGAAAGTGCTATATATTGAATAAGGCTGCCTGCTGCTTCATGGTCAGAAGGGCTTTCCAAGCATAATTTAGCCCAGTCGCTGAAAGTCTTTACAACAGGATCTGTCTCTTACTATATTTTTCAGCCGTGACTAGGAACAGTAAGACCCCAGTCTTGGCTGGAGAGGGGTTTTGAAATGCAAATAAAATTATTAAATTCTTAAATGAAATGAAAGATGATTAAAATGTGAGAGCTGAAAAGTTGTCTGTTGTCTCAGAATTCAGTTCAGAGTCTCATCKAATAGAACATTTGATTACTTTTTTAATCATTGCTTGAGTCACGGTGTTGGCTAAGGCTTTATAAATATTCTACTTTTTTGGCACAATTTCTATAGTAAAATCTTTTCTCCTGAAGCATATTAAAGAAAAACAATATCCACAGTGTGCTTCAATGCAGACTGAAGCACTGTGGAGGAAAATGGGACCATGGTACCAGCAAAGGTGAGATTAGCGATCTGCCACATATGAAACCATTAGGTTCAGTGCATTCCTTCTGGAATCACAAAATATATATGGAAAGGGAGCAGGATGGAGTCCCTTGTGAGGACTTGTTAAGTATGTCCTTGAGAAGAATAGGAGGAAAAAAAAAAATTTAAGTATCTAGCAATGTGCTGGTAAGCACTTAGTCTGCCCTAACTGCCCTTAATACAGCTGTGCATTTATGAGCAATTCCTGTTTGGTTCAGTTTGAGTTAAGTGACCAGTGTCTGTGCTCTGCTTTTCTGTGATTACTGACAACTCTGGAAGGCTTCATAGCCCGGGCTTYGCTTTGCAGCTGGCTCCTGGGCAGACATACAGGGCACAGCATTTCAGGGGCAGCCTTTTATGCAGAAGTTCTTGAAAATTGCTTTTCTGTTCTGTGCCGCTTTAGAGCAGGAGAGACTGAGAGCAGTTGTAGGAAAATAATGGGGCTGTTTGAATAGTGGTTGCTATAACAGCCGAGGCTGGTAGTGGTTCTGACCGCAGCAGCAATCACAGAGAAAGTCAAACTTTTACCTTGGACGAATAAACAGCCATCAGGCTGTGAATGAAGAGCCTCTGGGCAGCAGCTTGTTTCTTGTAAATCAGACTGCAGGAGAAAGAAACACCTAATAAAATAGCTCTGTTTTGGCTGAAGAGCCAGTGTTCACTTATTGATCTAATCTTATTATGCTTTAGCAGAATTTCTTTGTGCTGTTGTGCCTGCTACAGTTTTGCTTATTAWCAGGTTGATTCAGAGTCTGATAATTTAAGAAATAGACTATAGCAGTGAYTCTGGCATGTGATATTTTTGAAGGAGAACTTTATTACAGTTCAAAATTATTGTAAAAACAGTGTATCTTCCCAAATGGACATTAAGTAAGTCTATATGACTTCTTATCTCAGTCTTGGGTATAACAACATGATACTGGTTTAAGGATACCGTTTACTATTGTCTCTGGATTTTTTTTTATTCATTATTTAAATTTAAACTGCTGCTAAATTCTGAAGGTCTGTACTGAAGAATCCCTTTAAAGCCACACAAAAAAAGATGAAGAAAGGAATAACAGGTGGGATATTTTATAGAGAGGAGGGAGAGAAAACTTTTGTAGCTAGATCATCTCTAAAGGTCCCTTCCAACCTTAAGGATTCTGTGATTCTATGACTTCTCATCTAGCTTTCAGAAAGCAGGTGTCTTATGTGTCCCCTTGTACATTGACTTTTTGAGTATGTTAATAGTTATGTGGGTAGGTAAGAGACACTCTATGTATGTAAAACTTGCCTGCAGAGTTGGTTTTGGATAGGTCTTTGCCTATGTGTAGGAYGAGGGTTGGGTTCAGAACCCTTGGAAAATCAGTTTCTTAAAAGGCTGATTTGATGGGGCTGTTCYTGGAAGCGTTTTCCTCCTAAGTGGCACCTGGAGGTCCCTGTACCCATGGGAGAATATATACATAAGACTCTGCTGCAAACAGTGCAAGTACTTGGTACCAAACACGAAGGTAAGCCAAAGCCATCAAAAAGCCAAGAGCCCCCGTTGTTTTGGAAGAATTAACCATTCCCATATGCTTTAGCACTGCCTAGCTGGACTTCTCGCAGCATCTCTGCACGAGAGGGGTGGCAGGAGGGGGATAACAGTATTTGGCAGGGACACATCATGTCTTTGCTTCAGGCTGAGTCAGGGAATGACAAAGAACATTAAATGGCAATAGAGGAATATAATAGAATTAAATGGATAGCTATATTTATATTTCAGTTGTATATTTCAAAATTATATTGTTTTGTTGATCCATACATTTCCATCTTTGTTATAGTTTGATAGTTTAATACGATCTTAACTTTCCCTAGCTATGGATGTCATTTTAGAACCGATACTGAAATACAGGTTGAAAGCAAAATAATATTTTAATGTACTTGGATGTTACCCTCTTGAGTTCCTGAGTCAGCAGAGCCACCTCCCAAAAGGAAATGTCTGTTCACTTTTAAGCACCGAAAATGCTCTACTGACACAGAGAGCACTCATGCTTACTCTTTTTGCAAGACAGAGAGGACTGTTACAGAAGCAAATGTGATTTGATATAATATGCAGGGCAAATAAATCATTTGGACAGAGATTGTTGTTGTTTTGCAACATGACATGTTTGGTATACAGTCATATTTTTCAATGAATTTTTATTTTGCTCTGATTCAATAAAGTCAGTAATATTTTATATGTTGTGATGGGCCAACCACCTGTACAAGTATTTATAACCAAATTTTTTAAGAAATACAAAAGGCCATATATAAGGAGTCCATAATAAAATTTTCTTAAAGGTATCTGTCATARTGGATAAATGATAAGATTCTCACACCTGCCCTTTCTGTTCTGTTTAGTAAAAAGGGTGAAACAAGTAGATAAAAAGAGAAGCACTATTTTACTGATTAGTGTTGGTAGCTGTAGGCTTCASTGCAGCATTTCTTGTTTTAAGTTTTCCTTTCATCCACTGAGACCAGCCAGATTGTTTCTGCATCACCTGCACGTTGCGTTTTAAGCATCTGAGGAAGCAGAAGTGAAGCTGAGCATCTCCATCCCTCTGGAAGACCAGGTGTCTGGAGCAGCCTGGCTGGGTGGCTGACAGCCCCTGAGGAGTAAAGCCCTCATCCCATCCCTCTAGTGACTGACTTCTCGGCCCTCCCGTGTCCTAGCAGTACGTATGGTGTATTTCTGTTTCTGCCTGTTTCGGCTGGATAGTGCAGCACTCATTTCCTCTCAGACTGTAATTGCTGTTCTCGTAAACTGCTAGTAGTTCCCACATGAGTACCATCAAAAGGGTTATAACTAACATTTGCAGGGCTGAAAATATGATTTTCTGCTACTTCTATAAAGTTGCTCTCTGTTTAGCACTCGAGAGAAGATGAAAACACTGCTTAGATTTATTTAGTAGGTCATTAACAGCTGTAACATTAGGTTTTAATACTGCTACTCTGTACCCTCATTTTAGAATGAGCACTAAATGTGAGTGATAACTTTCACACATGTACAAATGTCTTAAAGCATTTAAGCATTTTAGTCATGCTCTGAACCAGCCAAGTCAACAATATCCTTTTGTATGTTTGTAAACTGAAAGGCTGGAAGGGGTCAGCAGCTATAAAAGCCCACTGACGTTTCTCAAATTAATTCCTGGGTAGAATACATCTTTAGGGAACCCTTCAGTCTTAATTTACACCTTTTCAATGGCTGGCAGCTTGCCTAGGCTTTTATAAACTGTGCCAGTATTTAGTCACTCACTGTTCAAATATACCAAATAAACAACTAATGTCTTACCTGGAAGCCTTAGCCTTAATCTCCAGCTGTTGATCTTTGAGCAAAACTGGAGAGCAATTTCCTCTCACTTTCCATGCTGTTTAGATAAGTATTTGTCTAGTCTGCATTAAGGTTTTTACTTTTCTTTTGTAGAATCATTTGCAATGATATGTTTATCTTAAAATTCCTTGTTTGATTAGCTAGATAAYGACACTCTCATTTCTGTAGTGGAAACTGTTCCAAGAACATCATGACAGATGCTGCATTGCCACATCCCTTAGGAGAGACCATGTGAACGTGCACATCCAAGCCACTGTTCGGAGCCTTTCTTAAAACACAGTAGGTCCAATTGCGGTAAGGATGGTTGAGAGAGGATCCATCTGCTGTTTATTTTCCATCTAGTATTTTTTATAACTGGAAATTCTTTATTTGTCTTTTAAAACAAGGCTCAGACAGGAATTGAGCCAAAAGAAGGAGCCTATGGAAAGTGGGCTGATCTGGTTTAGTTTGAGCAGCCGTCATGTAGGGTGCTGTGCATAGAGCGCAACATTGGGCAAGGTGAATTTTTAATGGGCAGCACTGAAACCTAAGCATGTATTTTGGCATGTGGAGATCTGTGCACTACCTGTATTTCTAAAATGCAATATCATTAGAGGTACTTTGCAGATTTGCTCTGTGTATGTTAGGTTTTTCTCTTCTGCAGAATGGCAGATCTGCCTCTGGCACATAGTGTGGCATTGGTAAAGCCCTTGTATCTCATGATCTTCCCAGGTGTAAAAAAAAGATCATGCTTTGACATCTTTGATCTCTCCTTGTATATGAAGGCTGTTTCAAAATGTTGCCAATTCTTGTTCCGTAAGACAGTGAAAATTTAGTTCTTGATTCCAGTTCAAGGTATTAAAATACATTTCTTCATCTGTGGAACTCTGTTCTCAGCTCATTAGGTGTTTTTTTTCCCTAGCGCTCTGATTACAATTTGTTTGTGTTTACATTTCTTATCTTCCCCTCAGGATTCAGACAAACTCCATCCACCTCATTGATCTTTAAGGTCTATTTTCCATGGGATCACAGAATCCTTTGGTTGATACCCTTTGTCTTGCCCTAAGTCGTAGCAGCCTTCCAGTTCTTCCAGAATCCGTGGTTGGCTTCTTGAAGACCAGCTACCACTAAACATTTTCAGACCTTCCCTACATACCACTCACCTGAGGGCTTCCCAAATTCTAGCACAAAATTATCTTCCCCTTCACAAGTTTCATTACTATGAATGAAACTATGAACTTCTGGGCAATATGGCTGGTCAAGAAACCTAAAAACTAAGTTGAATTTTTTTTTTCTGAAAGGCACATTCTTAAAAATTGATGCCCATGTTCATTTTGTTTTGGGAATAAATGGAATTTTCATATTCAGTTTTCATATGTGGGGTATGTATGTATGCACCTGTGATGTTTATAATTGGGGTTCCAGCATTGTTAAGCTTGCTTGCAAGATAGTTGTACCATGATTCCGTGTCCTAAATTGAAATCAACCTATAGCAACATGCAAACAATAGCAGCATGCATGCAGGTGTACCTAAGAAATGAGACCACCCAAGGAATAGCAAGGCTTGCATCTTTAACACTGCTCATTTTGTGTCTTACTTGTCTAGAATGCTTAAATATTGCCTGATAGRAATCTTAATATAATAGAAACTTAGATCTGACTTTCAGAGCTATTTATCCTGTGCTTATTTACATGGATGTATGTTAAACTCTGTTCTAACACCTTTTAAAAACTTCTAATTTATCRAAGAACCACCTTGCCTCATTTCATGAAAGAAGTCTTGCAACATATAGCTGTATAAGAACCTTATTTATCTTATGTTCAAAATGAAGCAACAAAAAGCAGGAAAATAAGGAGGCCTCCCAACCAAGAAAGTTAAAGATGTAGTGCTTGATCTCCCAGTTCTTGTCAGAATTCCAGTATTCATATTGTCATATTTAAGTATATTCTCCATAAGCCTTTTTTATTCAGTATTGAATTAGGCACTAATTTTGTTCATCTTCCAGAAGAGCAAAAATTCACAAGTCTTACGAGCCTGGCAGGCTGCAGTGGCTTATCTACATGAGCCTTGTGCCAGCATCAGGATCCAAATTTGATCTGCCTTCTGCTCTTTTATAGCAACTTGTCTTGCATACAGATAGACTGCTTCGTATTGCTCTTGTTTGTTCCCTGCTTACTTCAGTGCTGGAAGTAGAGCAGGTTCTTTCTAAACATAAAACAAAGAGGCAGTTTGTGCTCCTAGCACGAGCTGGGTTCAGGTAAACATTCAGTGGTGGGTCACACGATAGCATGGTGAACGGGCTCACCGTGGCATCACTTTCCACACACCAGTAAGACACGGGGCCTCCTTCTGCTCTCCTGAGGACGGGGACACGYCAGGGACATTGCTGGGAGGCTCTTGGGTGAAATCACCCTGCCTGGCCACACATGAAGGACTCCAGGAAGGGAAAAGAGGTTTCCTTTCTTGCATGAAGCATTTTCCCCTGTGGGCAAGGGAAGTGCTTCTGTGGAGACCTCTACAAAGAAACTCCACAGAATTTTGGTGGSCAGAACATGCAGGAGTTGCGAGTGGTTTGTTCCGCTTCTCCATCTAAAATCTATATTGTGTTAGAGTCTGGATGAGTCATTCTGGATTATCTCAGTGGCTGGACAATACAAGAATCCAGCAACGTAAAGAATCTTTCTGAGGCATTTTCCCAGCTGCAGTGGATTTTCCCTCTGCAGATTCCTCTGTTGGATTCTTCATCCKTRACCATTCTGTGATTCTGTGATCCTGGCTTACAAACTCACTCTGCTATGGCTGAAAAATCCTAAGCCTTTCCTTGTTGGCAAAAACAAATCCATTAGAGTCTCCTGACCATCTGGCCTCTGCATGGGAGGAAATGTCTCAGTTTCCTTTCTTCCCAGCCTCTACTTCCCTTATTTTAATAGGATCCRTTCTGTATTTGGTTTATGCAGTAGAAATACATACTCAGTCCTGCAGGTGTGAGGTTTCCCCAAACAYGAGTAGCTTCAGATTAGGGAAGCAAATGTAGAAGACAAGTAAATACCTGTCTTCTGTGCTCTATATACCTACTGTCCAGCTGTGAAGTTAAAGGCAAGAAATTCAGTAATGGTACCAAATGCATCATTTCTCTGGAAACAACTCTATTTCAATAGCTTTGTTCATTCCTAGTGGTATTTTCAGAGTTGTTCTTTGTAGTGTGCTGTGCCGCTGTCTTATGCAGACATATGTATAAAGCAGTGTGGTATGCATTATTCATGAGATAGCAGCTATGATAAACAGAAAGGCTGTTGCTAAACCAGAAAATTAAACCCTACTGGTTTGTCTGTGGTCAGTTCCAAAGATATAAATAGGACATACTAATCAACATCTCTTCATTTTAAACAAATATATGCCTGTTATTCGATACTATACTGTGTGATAGCTCAGGATCCACAGTATTGAATCAGATCTGGAGAGGATTTGGGTCAGAATTCATGGCCAGTTTGGCCACTACCTGATGTTTTAATATCAGGTGTGAAAATGTAGTGACAAGCACAAGTGGAGTAATTTTAGTGGATTAAAGTGGATTATTATGGTTGACTTATTGTTAACTGATGATTAAGATTAATTTAACCTTTGTTAAGTTAACTCCTTCCAAATTTATCAATACTGATCATATTTGTGGCATGCTGCTGCCTGGGAATTTCTGAGAACTCATTCAGCTTCTAAAAATCTGGTATTACAGACCAAAGAGGCCTCAGAGAACATGATGAGAGATAGATTTAGAGCAGTGAGGTTGAAAGGGAGAAGCTGGGAAGAAGTTAGGACAGCTCTTTGGTACATCCAGCAAAGAGGAGGGCACCATGTTCAGATTTCCCGGATGAATGCGTTAATGAACTAACATGGGATTTGCAAATGTCATTTGAGAAATTAAMCATGTCTTTGAACAGTATTTCTACCTGAAGAGTTTTGTTATGAAAAGTTCTCTGTCCTGTTGTTAATCGCAGTGTCCCACCAGTGATTAATGTACTGTGTTACAATCTGTAAAACAGACTTGATGATCTTGACAAAGAATCTTGTCAATAGTGACTATGATTAATTAATAAAGGCATTTTTTGGAGCAGGAATAATATTAAGAGGATCAGTGAAATGTTCAAAATCATAGATATCTTCAAAATCATAGAAATGTTCAAAATCTTCCTGATAAAATCAAATTTTGATGTTTGCTTGAGCCTGCTGCATTTTTCATTAAGGCTACCATGAAGAGAATAGGAAGCTATCCCAGAAAGATTGGAAAAAGTTGGTGACTTACTGGGAGTCTAAATGTTCAAMATTGTGGTAAGCTGTTAGTTATGAGGAACAACAGTTCTTTGAGAGTTGATATTACTGTTTCTTTTGTGAACAATTTAAAAATACGAATCACTTTATTTTTGTGTTAGTAGTCAGAATTGTCCATGTTCTGCTCACTTTGTCCTCTTCTAGGAGTTTATATTATCTTTAGCATGCCTGTTCTTCACATGCACTACATATTCCCAGGCAGATTGGTCACATCTTGTTAGCTTTCACATTTGCATTGAGATAGCTTTCATTTTACACAACTGTCCTTTCACTATGTTTTAATACAATTCTGAATCTGTCTTGAAAAATCCTTTTCAGTTGTGGAACAGATGAAGCATATCCAAGTATCCTAGATAGATTTTACTTGTGATTTCTAAAATTCAATCAGCAGAATTTATTTTTGTCTGTATTCCATTTTCCAAACATTGATACTTCGTAAAATTTGAACAAAAGACAGTAATTTCATGTTATCTTTTTAGCAGGAAAAAAAAAGCTTTAGGCAAATCTATGCTGCCTTTTTTTTCTGGTTTCARTTTTGAAAATTGAAACTCTTCTGGTTCTGAATTTGAAAATACACAACATGAAAGTTTGAGACTGAATTATTAGATATCTTAATGAAAGAGGCTTTAGAGAAAAAATATCCTTATATAGATGTCATTGTAATTAGTCAGACACATCACACTGTCATCTGTACCAGAAATTTCTTTATCCATTTTGGGGACATTATTACTACTCCTAAAATCTTTGGTGGCCCTAGGCTTAAAGGATGAAACAAATGTCCCCCGACGAAGGGGTAGTTGGAATCAGTGAATGGTTTAGAGAGCTCAGCAGGCATTTTCTTGGTGAGAAAAAAAGTGGAGCTGGATGAGTGGGTTTGGGCTTTCTGTTTTGTTTTGATTTTTTTGATAGTTGCACCAATCCAGGCTGCTTGTTTCCATTCTTGGTCTACCTTCYGAGTTGTGCCAGTAGAACTGCTTGCATCAATGGATGATGAATGAAGTTGAAGGACTGGTCTGAATGAAAAATAAACCTTTTTTTTTTTCTTTTTTTCCCTCTCTTTCTTTCTTTCGCTGCTGAAAGAAACGTTTGTGAAAYGGCAGCCTGAAGGATTGGCACTGGTGTGGTAGGAGAGGGAAGGGCGGCAGGGGCCTGTGCGGCCTGTAGAGTTGGTGGCCGGAGGAAGGGCCGGCAGCCCTGCCGTGGGAGCAGCCAACAGCAGATTATTCCGCACAGTCCTCACTGGGAAGATAGACTTGGATTTCTGTTGCTTCCTCTTCTTAAATAAACTTGATTACAGGCAGGGAGATGCTGCCTACCATCTGTTTCTGCCCGCAATGGGGACACGGTGGCAGGCCCTGAAGCACCAACGAGCCTTTCCTGACAGAAAGGGCACATTGTGTTGGTGGAGGTTGGATAATCACTCAGAAAACTGCGTGTTGGGGCTAGAGCTGCAAGAATATTGCAGGCTTGGAGGTTCATTTAAAAATAAAACACACAAATCTCACAGAGCCGTGTGGTGGGAGCTGCTTTTTCCGGCCTCAAGAGGCCCACGGATTTGGCAGGGACTTGTCCTAGCACAGCGCAGCGGGGTGAGGAGGAGAGCGTTGCCGAAGCCATTTCTTAAATTTCTGCTGAAGCTCCCTACCAATTTGGACAGCAGAAGACAGCAGGATACCAAACCATGCTCTGAGGATGATGCACATACCTAGAAAGACAACTTGGTTTAAATGACAGGGCATAATTATGTGAGGGATGCCCTCCTGGTAGCCTGCACAGAGGAAAATTATCTGTGCGGTTTTTTGTGTACTATGGCAAACTCCAATAGCAAAGCAAAATATTTGCCATCTAAAAATATTTAATTTGCCATCTAAATCTATTTGTGATGTTTTCTTTAGTATTATCTTTATCCTTGAGTTTCTTAACTTCTAGGAAGCAAACATGCTAATGACAGAATAAAATAACAAAGCTTTTTGCACTGCTAGGATACCCTCCTGATCACTAAATCACCTGTAGAAAGTTATACTAGGAGTGATACTGGGAGGCTCATGTGCTGCTGCTGCTTCATTTCTGCCAAGGGGGAAGAAGTCTCTCGTATGAAGAGAGGCTGAGTGAGCTGGGCCTGTTTTCTCTGGAGAAGAGAYGGCTCAGAGGGGATRTGATTAATATGTRTAAGTTCAGGAAGGGAGAATGCAGGGAGGAAGGGGACARGCTGTTCTCACTGGTGGCCAGCGATAGGACGAGGGGTAATGGCCACAAGCTGAAGCACAAGAAGTTCCGTCTCCAGGTGAGGAGCAACTTCTTTACTGTTAGGATGACAGAGCAGTGGAACAGGCTGCCCAGGGAGGTTGTGGAGTCTCCTACTCTGGAGGTCTTCAAAACCCGCCTGGATGCCACCCTGTGCCMCDTGCTCTAGGTGTGCCTGCTTGAGCAGGAAGGTTGGACTAGATGATCTGTAGAGGTCCCTTCCAACCTTAAATATTCTGWAATTCTGTGATTCTGTGATTCTGTGAAGTCTCATTCCTGCAAAAAAATGATGACTGGACCTTAAACTAAGGTCAAAAACTGGGCCAAATATACGATTTTCTGGATGAGATCTCCCATCAGCTTTTGGAAATGTCTTGAAGTAAAGAAAATGGTTCTGTGAGAGACTGGAAGAGCAACACAATCATCTGATAAACGAGCAATTGTGCTTTATAACAAAGCTGCTCTTCAGCTGCTTCACAGGACTGCCTAGCTGCAGGCCAGATGGCCATAGGGGCGCATGGTGGAAACTAATTTAGGAGGATGACTCCACAGAAGGCAAATCTCATAATTCATATATGTTTGAAATGTTTGCAATTCAATTAATGGAATTAGTATTTAATGCCTCRAGCGTTTTGCCTATTCAAAGCATTTCTCAAACTTGCTCGCGCAGCTGCASTGCAAGGTGAATAAGCAGGCTGTGCTGTGGCTGCGTACTGGGTTTAGAGTTATTATTCCTGACTAATTACCTCTCCATCTCCCTTCCTGAAAATTTATGTTGTGTATGAGATCAATCTATAAAATTTATTGGCCTGCACCAGGTCACTTCTCTGCCTCTAACGATCTTGCTCTGGTGTGTGGTAGGAATGTAGAGGATCTGCAGTACGAGTAGGTGAGGACTTTCTGGAGATGCATGAGAGATGAGGTTTACTGCTATAGGAGGAGGTACCTATAGATAGATAACTGAGGAGTTAATATAGATTTAGAAATAAGAATATTAGTTTTATTACCTAGCAGGAAAAGGTAGCTTCCAAAGACATTTTTTAATATAAGATATTGTTTAATATTTTAAAGTTTCAAAACTTTTTTTTCCTTTTTTTTTTCGCTCAAGAAGCAGATACTTTCGAGTTGTTTTTGGTGATCAGCAACTACCAGGTGGACTGGCTCATGAAACCTTTAACATCATCTCCTGACTGCTTAGGGAAATGCAGTGACAAAATTGTATAACTACAATTTATAAACTTTAAAAATAACACAGCCAAAGACTTTTAAAAACTTTTAAGATCTTACACAACCTTGCATATTTTCAGTAACAAGACCCTAAACATTTGGTGAATTCCTCTTACTCCATCTGGATCATCTATTTCGACAGGGCCGCCTACTGCTATTCCAATTAGCTCATTGCTTTAAGTTATTGTCATTAGTGACCTGCTACTAGGGTTTCTATTGATAAAGCAATTTTCCTGCAGGTTCCTGGAACAGAATTCAGCATTTAATCTGTTTCATCTTTGGTATTTGTAATAATGTACTAGATTTGCCACCTGACTCATGGCAAGGGATTTTGATGCTGTAATTTTATCTGATGGCTGCAATAACAATAAATTGCCATTGTTCTTCCTCGTGTTTACTTTTCCCTTGTGCATACTTGCTTCTTCTTGTTTAGATACTTGTATTGCCTGTTTGTTATTGTTTGTTACCTGTTTTCTTTTTTTCTATAGAGAACACAATACTCTTCATAAATGAGCTTCGCTCAAAAAAAAATTGAGAGCTCTGGTGATGCATCCACCATCCATCCATGTTTGGATTTCAGATCGGGTGTTGCACCCAGAGGTTGAATGCTCAGGGCTTGCCATTAGTGGTAACTCATGTTTGTCAGTGTGGAAGGATGAGTAAATTCCTTTAGGCTGACCAATATCATATTTAGGCTGACCAATATCATAGTGTTCTGCACATGCCTTATCCATGCCTCTAGAGCTGAAGGGGGTCTGCAGTGACCTGCTGTGCTCCTCCTGAATGGTTTTCCCCATCCTCTGAACCACTATTTCACAGAGCAGTGAATATAACAGAAAGAACAAATAATAGAAAATCTAAGGAGAAAGATTGTGAAAGAGATCATAATGTCTTATGAGAGCATTCCTCTCACTGTGGCACCATAAGGCACTTTTATGACCTGCATTATTGCAAAGAAGTGATAAAACGGCAGGATAGCCACAGCTCTAAGCTGCTATATAGTATTAATAACATGATTTCATTTGTCCTGACAAGGTACCTTAGAAGATGGAAAATCCAYGCAGACTGGTGTAACTACAGCATCAGCCACAACTGGGATTCTGAGCACGGAGAAGAAAGCCAGCGCTGGCCCTCGGAGCGGCAGCCCCGCGGCTCCTGCCGCCCCAGCCCGGGCACAGAGGCCCAGCAGCTTCAGAGCAGCAGAGGTAGGACCACAGTGACCTTCCGTGGTGCTCAGGGCTCCTTCAGCCACATCACGAGGCCTTTGCGACAATATTGCTTTTGGCATCCAACTCTATTAAATACCTCCGGATGAGATGGAATAGTTGCAGTGCAGGCAGAGCCTGATTAAGCCTGGAGGCTCTGATAAGCAGTCCTGCCCGAGTGGCCACGAAATTAATGTTTCATTCTGCAGCTGGAGTAACTTGCATGCCTGTTACAGAAACAAGACAAACCAAAAAAACCCTACACTTTCTCTTTTTCAACTTAATCAAGCTATGTCACAGCTTGTGCAAGCTGATTAGGTCAATAATCTGAAAGGGAATGTGTATTTCCTTAATTAATGCTTTGCTTTAATTGTATTTGTTGTATTAACCCTGGTTTATTCAAGGCTAGATGTAAAGCCTAAGAGGTCAATGGGAGTCTTTTTAGGCCTGGATCAGATCCTCAGTCTTTTTTTCYCCTCACCTGCTTAGTATTTTGCAGAAAGATCATCCAATGTAACAATAATGTATGAAGACAAAAGGCTTTGGTGCAAGATCCTAGCTGCTTACCCTGCCTTTTTCTCAGGATTTTCCACTACTGTACAGTTCATGTAGCAACTGCTCAATTGCTGCAGATTAAGTTGAATAATTTGAGATAAAGTAATGCAAAAGTCATAGCTGCTTTACTGCTTCCTCAATTTCTCAGATGGCAAAAATCTCTGAGTGGAGTGTCATGGATAGTGGGGACAGAAACGTCTACAACCATCCCATAAACTGTGTGTCCCCTCTTGTGAATCAGATTCTTGAGCAAGGCAATTTAAGCCCAGGGGAGCTAAGCAAATGGAAAAGTAAATGTGGATCAAATTTTACCGTGCATTTGCTAACAGCAAACACATTTGTCTCTGTGTACCTATTTTAAACTGTTATTGTATAATATCTTCCCTCCACTAATCCCAAAGTTTGGAAACATTCCCCGGTGACATAGATTATGCTGTATCTTTGCACCAGATATTGCAGCTCCAGAAGTACCACTCCACATTCTGCATCTACATGACATCTAGAGCCACGGATGCTTTGCTATAAATGAAAATATAAATGCCTGTCGTAACCACAGCCCACAGAGAAAAAATAATTGGTCGTATTAAACATGGCTGAACAGAACTAACATAATTATTAATCTTCTTGAGAGATGTGACCACACTTGAGAATTGTATTGTATATCTGAAATACTGTTGGAGAATTTCTTTTTTTTTTTTTTTTAATTTTGTGACTGATTGAAGCGTTTCTTCTACATTTAGACTTTCTAGGAAACATGGGCAAACTCCTGCCCTGAGAGGATGTTGACCAGAGTGGGACTACCCCACGAGTTACCCCAGGCTGGTTACTGACTTTGTCCTAAGCCTTTGGTTGATCCTCCAGTCTTCTATCTAAGACACATTCCGTCATATATTTGTACTGTTACAGCTACATGTTCAGAGAAAATTTCTGATGCTGAAAGGGCATTTAGATTATTCTGTGCATTGAAATGCAGATGTCTAAGAAAAAAGGGTATTTTGTCTAAATGTCTTATAGTTAGAAAAGAAACGTAGGTTCCTACRGTAGGCAACTGTTCCCCCCACAACTCAAAATGCACATATTTTATTCTTCTGAATATTCACATTGACTATGGCTTGCCTTTTGTCTCTAGATGCTGGTTTTATCTTACCATGCAGTACCCTGGTAATACACACCACACTCAGGATACTTGGCTTCTGCCATTGGCCTGCGTGGTGGTTTGGGGTAAATTGATTTACCTCTCTGTATCTCATTTTCTCAGAGTTTAAGCCCTGGAGGACCCTGCTTCTTTACCATAGCATTGGGTACGATCTGTGGTGTTGGATGGGAAAGGGTTTGACACGAGGCTGCACCTAGAATCCTCTCACGAGGGTAGTGGGAGAAGGACTTGGATGCCAAGATGTCGATGATGAAAACTAACAACAGCGAAGGCTCTGTGATAGTAAAGAGCAAAGGTGGCATCCAGTTTATTTACTGCAGTGCTTGACAGTAGCCTAGTTTGAATTTCATCATGTAGACAGTCTTTGGAGAAACACTGAGGGGGTAAAAACACCGGGGGATGAGTTAGTGAGGGAGAAGATATAATTCAGTTTGCAGAAATCAGAACAAATACATACTGGTAAATTTGATTCYCAGTTTTTGCCCCCAGATAGATAACTGTAGCTTTCACTGATGTCAGTGGATGTGTACCTGGCATTATTATAACTGGTGTTATTTATCAGGTAAATTGGCTTTGTTTACATTTAGAAATAGTCTCACAAATGTTTGAGAGGTGATGATCAAGGACACCTAATCCAACTCTGTGTTTATATCAGCCCAATTACAAGATTGCTTTGATGGACTTATCCAATTTATTGCACATTCTAATGTGTTGCTTATAGCAACAACCAGACACACTAGGATGCAAAAAAGGATAAATTTAAATTAAGGATGCGCTTCCTTACCTCAGAGAGACTATTTTGAATATTGGAAATTATTTGATGGAAATCTGAAAGGTATTCAGATACACAAATATTGTGCTGAGGTCTTGCATGCAAACAGAATTARGGCTGTTTTGAAACTGTATTTTCATTTCAGAAACCATGAGAAAGCACAGAAAATTCTGTTTCAGGGTAGTAAAACAATTTCTAGGATAGTGAAGGAAAGCATTTCTGAGTTGAAAGCAGGTTTCTTTTTGCTTTGCTTTTGAAAGACACATGCAAAAAACTGCTTATTTACAGCCAAACTCATTGATCCAAAGCCTGCTCATGCCCATRGCCTTGAAAGCGCTCACAGAAGGTTACAGCCGTGCTCACTGCCCCAGCTGCTCCACATCGTAGCGGTAGGTGAAGGTCATCAGGTCTTCGTGTTTGTTAACTTGAGCTGGTTCCATAAATTCTGAGGTTCTTGTCGATGAATGTTTGTCCTGTCAGTGGGGGACTCATCGCACTGCTCGCCCCTTTCACAGAGCAAGCGGGACGCAAAGAAAATGCCCATGAAAGAAGCCACCATTAGCGTTGCCAAGAGCCTCAGCCAAAGCGACCGGCGGTTGGCGAAGAACTGCGTCAACTAACGACGTCCAGCGAGCGCGAGGATGGCCCTGCCCACCCTCCACTGCACTTTAAATCAGCCAGGTAGCGTTTGARGATTGCGAGACCTTCCGTGTCGAGCCCAGCAGGGAGCTGCTGCCGAGTGCCTTGGGAAACACGTCCTGCAGGAACCAGCGGCAAGCGCCCCGYGCGGCCCCGGCGCCCCTTGCCCGAGGAAGGGGCGCTGCACGGACGTACGCCAAGATTTGTGCCGTTTGTTTTTACCAAGTGCTATGTTGCCTACCCGTGGGTGGCTTGTTCTGCACTGCCGTTAGGACGAGAGATAGAGTTGTTCTTAATTTAAGGCAGGAAAAGAAAGAATGAATCAGTATTTTTAGTCATAAGGAGTTTGAAGCAAATAAGCTCAAACCTACAGAGCTAATTTAAAGAGTTCACTTCTGTAAAACTCAAACCCACATATCTCAAAAACAAAGACACAAAGATGGCTTCCAATATAGCTCTTTTAAGCTATATATTTCAGTTACATATAGTTATGTCATCTACTAACCTTTTATATAGTAAACTTTTAAATATTTAGTTCAATTTATTTTTATGTTGACAGAATTATGTCTTAGAAACGATAACTTTTATATTCCAGCCTTACTTGAACAAGTTCACAGTATTAGCTGGCTGATAGAGTTCTGGCTACTCTCTTTTTTAAGACATACTCATTTAATTATTTGGGGGCCCAAACTCTCTTCTCTAGACTGACTCTGGAAAATAGTGATCACTCACTCTATATGACAGTAACCATACTTCTGAAAACAATATTCAACTCATGATAACTCCCACTAACTCAATTACCTCCCAATAACTCAATTATTTTGATTAGACATAGTTGATTTGAGGTGCAGAAGATGTATTTAATTGCATTGTATGCATCCTGTATCATAGCACTCTGTTTTTCATAAATATACAGCTAAAAGGAATATAATTGTTCAGTGTTGTAAAGTCCAGTAATGAATTTAACATATTCTTACTATAAAGGTAATAATATATATTCTCTGTACGCGTATACTTTTATAAAGCTTAAAGAGGTAAATTTATTTGCCTCCTCCATCGAACACATATAGGCATCCTTTGAGGATCATTTAAAATAACTACTCCAAAGTTGTTCATAACAAATGGGATTGGGAAGGACACCTGAATATGTAGTTCAAGAAGCCTTTTTTACATTTAGGCATATAAGTATAAATAGAACTGTGGAAGGGAATCTTCATTCTTTCCATACTAGGACTATTTTAATGACTTGCTGCCAGCTGTATGACTACCTAGCACTTTCCTTGGAGTACAACAAGCTTGTGATGTCGGGAATTGTTTAGGTAAATAATTGCTTTATTATTATCCAACACAAAGACAAAGCCAAATCCAGCGGCAGTGAGAGATTTTTGCATACATTAGGATATGTATTTTTAACAAATCATTATTTTCACCTGTTCTAAAAAAAAGACAAAGATCCTGTGCTAAGCTCTTTTCAGTTCAGCGTGCGACCTTTTAYATGACTTTGCTGCGTATTTACATAGGAAAACTAAAAAATGCWAAAAATAATGTTGCACAGGTAAAACAGGCTGTCTGCATTTATCCTTCCAACTTGTTGCAAACAAGCTGGCAGAGAGCAACACAGGACAGGACTCGCTCTAACAGTAAACAGAGCTATAGAAGCTCAGCAATATTAATTTAGAAATGGATGGCCACTGTTTTTGCCCATGCACTAGTCAAATTGAAAGCACACATGCAGCCCTCTGCATTATTTGTGCACCGTTTCAGATGTGGGCCAAACTTACACAGGATTTACTGGCAGAGACAGTACAGTATAAAACAGTATGATACAGAAAACATATGGAAAGCAATCAGTGATGCTGGTTTGTGTAAGGGTACAGTGGATTTTGAAAGAAGGCAAAAGGGGAATTTCATTGCTTGCCATTCCTTAAGAAGCTGTTCCACAGATGGATGTGAAGTTTGGGTGAAGAGATACAAAGACAGGGGATTTTGAGGAACAAGGTTTTTCACTAGCTAAGAAATTATTTTGTGATGTGCTGAGCGTGATGTGCATCTAGTGCCTTGGCTCGCACAGCACGAGGAAGACTGCAGACTTGTAGACCTTGTAGAAAGGTGGGAGAAACAGCCCTCAGTGCATGTCAACAGCCAGCGGGGAGTCGGGCTTCTGAGTCCTGTATTCCAAGCGTGAGCAGCATGGATAGCAGGGCATGGAAGTAGTGTGTAGTTATCTGCACAGTACCACAGACCTTGGTCATGCTGGCCCCATCCCTCACGAGGATGGCAGTCGTGGAGTCATGAAGGTTGTCTGCTCTCATCGACACCTCTCTCTGCTCAATGTCACTCATAGGACCTAGCTCAAGATCTTGGGAACCTGTTTATATCCTGAGCCRTAACTTTAAGGTGTTCAAAGACAGATCTGACTTGTGTTGGGAGCCATGCCTACTCACAAGCAACCTTGTCAACTCTTGCCATGTAAGATATCACTGTTCTTATTTGTTAAGAGGTAACTGAAAAGACCTTACATTACRTCTTTGATAGCTTGTTAGTTCTTCAAGCACGAGTTCCCAACGACCTCAGCAGAACTAAGACTGTATTCTGCCTCCGTGCTTACACTGGGTTGTATTTGTGGTTTCCTTGCCTCTGCTTCCACTAGAGGCAACCAATAACAGAAACAGTCAGTATGGTTATGAAATAATATACCACTTGGTATAATTAAGGGTAACAGAGTCTAGTCTACACTGCTTAAGACAAATTAAAATTGCTAAAAATAGTTTCCTGTGAAGGTTTTAATGAAGGAGAGAGAGAGAGAGTCATCTCAGAGAGTCATCCGGGCCTCTTCATTCCAAGGGACCTTTGTAGGAGTGAAGAGTTATCTACAGGGTGTCTTCTTCAGCTAAGATATTTAAAATAGAAGTGGCTCAAGTGCAGCAAATAAAGCAAGTGTTAAGAGATATATTCTTTTAGGTAAAATACCTGCTGAAATCTTTGGCTTAGTACRTGACAGGATTTTTGAAATGTAATTTTTCCACACAAGGTATTATGCCACTTAATTTGTTCCGCATCCTTTGGCTGYATGGGAAGATTTGTAAAGCTACCCTGAAACAACATTCTTTCTGTGGAAAATACATGGACCCTGGGTGAGCTTTTGTGATTTGCTTTAGTTCAGATTTTAAATAAGAATAAACTTCCTGTGTTATGTTTCCACAATTTCAATGCAACACAAAGATAGGACGTTCATCTGTTATGTTTATACACATGAAGTACATTTTCTGCTGTTGTATGAGAAATAAAGTCACTAAAATAAAGTTTAAAATGAGCATTTGCATTTGAATCCAAAGTAGCATTTGGATAAAGTTATCAGTAGACAAATTCATCTTCTCTGGTAARTCCTTTGAGTTCAAATCCTTTGCTATCCCTTGATTTTGTCCCTTACACTTGCRTCATGTATGTCACCATTTCACCATTACTGTATGAGGTTGGTTGGAGGACACAATTTTAYTGTGCAGCAAAAAAGATCAGTCACTGAAAAAGGAGGAAAATATGATTATTGTGTAAGCAATGTGTAAGTATTGGGCTAAACATACATTCCTGCTATCTGTGTGACGAAGGTCACATACAAAACCGATTTTTTTTGATCTTCCTGGGGTGTTCATATGCATATATATTCACACGTGCATGTCTGTGAGTGGGTACACTGTAATGGTAATTACGTTCTGCAGATCATGCATGGGTTTTGTGAACCTTGCAGTTGTGTTTTTAATTCTGACATAGCAGTATAAAATGTTTTAATGTTTGAATTGAAATCTATTTACCATGCCTTATGAAAGGAATGAGCTATATTATCTGTGTGCAGAAATGGTATTTCAAAAAACAGGCTTAGTTTTATTTGGAGATATGAATAATCTAAGTAAGGTTTTAGAATAAAAGGAGCACTTTTGTACTCTCATTTTCTTTGCAAATTATTGAAGATTGACTTTCACTTGAAAAAAATAAAGAAAATCTTTTAGACTGATGTGTCTGTTTATTACTCCGTGCTTTTAATATTCCTGTGTTTGTTATTGATTCCTGTGTTTGTTGTTGTTGAATCTTTAGGAATTGGGACTGAGAAGGCACAGTATATAGTTCCCACTCCCACTCTTTATGGAATTGGAATATTTTTGTATCTGATGATCTCAGACTGTGACTCATGGGCTGCATGGTCACGTTATAARGAGCTAAAATATGTATTTTCACCACACACAAAAAAAAGGCTATATTTGCCAAAGAGAGTTTACAAGATCAAAAATGGGAGGAACAGTAACTTTCATAATTATGATGGGAAAATTCATGCTTGTTGTAACAGCCAGGGTGGAGATACTGGGAGCCTAAGACATTTTCTCAATGAGTTATCGTATTATTCCCAGGGGACCAGGGAACAAGAGCTCGCYGAGTTGTGGGTTCTCCCGATAGAAACGGAATGTCAGGACATTTGAAGGAATCCTGGCTCCCTTTGTAGCCTTGTGAAGGTCTCTGCCGAAGCGCCCTGGCTGCTCCAGGCTCTGCTCTTTAGGCAGATCCAGAGGGAGCAACCAAAGCAATCAGCAGGCCGGTAGGCAGAGGCGCCCACAGGAGTTGCTTTGTGTGGAAAACAGMCAACTGATGGGAAACCCTCTGCTATTTTCCTTTGTGTTGGCTAGGATGAAAACAAGAAGCAACTCGAGATGAAGCCAGGAAGATTAATGGTTAAAAAAAAAATAACATTCATGGTAAATAAGTTTTCGAGTGTGTAAGATCACACTAGACAAGTAGTATGTTGTATGATGAAGGGACAGTTGATTCTGCTTTTCATGTGGCTGTTCTGTCCCCGCCTGTAGAAACTACAGCTCTGTTATATTTTCTAGAAACCTGAAGTTGTCTTTTTCCAAATAGCTCTTCCTTGAGGCAACTGGTGAATAAAAAGAAAGGCATTTGACATTAGTATTGTGCTACTCAGGACAGATCCAATTATGATGTCTATAGGGAAGAGAAGGTAAAATACAAGGAGACATGATATACTCATGTAATTAAAGCCCTGCTTCTCCTTGGGTGGTAATAACAGCTATCCGGCCTTCTCCTCCCTCTCTATTCATACAGGATTCCAGGCTGGACCCTGAAGATTTATTGCAAAGATTATTATATAGAAATAAATGACAGTCCTTGTCCCCAAGAGCACATCATGTGCTCTGAGAGAAGCCACGGGAATGAGCATGGTCACCAGCAAGGAAAAGTTGGATAAGGATGACTCTGCAACCGGGTGCACAATAGGAGGGTTTTGTTGGTGAGGAAGGCCCTGAARTCCTGGAGAAAATTTGTATGGCATGGCTTTAGGGAAGAACTATACTGGGAGATTCATTGGGAAAAATACCAGGCAAAAGAAACKGTAAATTCAAACATACAAAAGGGGCAACATTTGCTTTGGATGTGTTTTAGACCCTCCAAAAATGTGGTGAAATGAGTGTGCAATGAGTGAGTGAATCAAAGGTAGCCAAAAGGGGGAGGAAGGGAAAAAAAATAGTGTAAAAGAGAGCAAGAGGTGAATTCTACTTGCTGATAATAACCTGACCCTTAAGGGACTTGCCACTATCAACCACAGTGCTAGAAGCTCTGGTCTGTGTATCCCCAGTGATGCAGCAATGTATGTGTGACATTAGTGAGGGCTGTGCGTTTGGGTCCTCATTAAATGCACCGTGTCTGTGCTAGTTAGAGTTTCCTGCAACACTGAAATAGCCAACTGTGAGGGTGACAGAGCCCTGGCACAGGCTGCCCAGGAAGGTTGTGGAGTCTCCTTCTCTGGAGATCTTTAAAACCCGCTTGGATGCAGCCCTGTGCCCCRTGCTGTAGGTGACCCTGCGTGAGCAGGGGGTTGGACTAGATGACCTGTGAGGTCCCTTCCAACCTTAACCATTCTGTGATTCTATGAACTGACTGGTCAGTACAGGGATTGAAAGGAACCAGTGCTGAGGAAAGAACTGCAGCCAAATGCAGCACTGAAGAAAACAGCATAAAGCTCCTGGCAGCGAAAGTGCGTAGCTGAGGCTTCAGSAAAGGCTTCAACTGCCCCTCACAAAGGTCTGTGTCCTCCAAGACCCCAACAGCGAAACACGAGCACCTTCATGGGCCGTCTGGTTCATGGGCAGCGCAGGAATCATGGGCTGGGRAGAGCAGCATGGATGTGGCCTATTGCTCTTGTGCTGTAGGGTGCAGCAGTTGTAAGTGTGTGAGGCAGAGAGAGCACAGCTAATAAAACACACACGGTCCTGGGAAGAGGAGAGCACAGACTGGACAAAACAGCCACTGTGGGGTTTGAAACTCACCCACCATGTCTACAGGTAACGCTGTTTCTAAAACCGTTTCAATGACTCTAGGTTCTTAAGATACTTCCCCCTAATGCCGGAAAGTGCCGCTCTCGCTGAATTATCCCCCATCCTAACTGCCCATGCCAAGGGTGAGCTTCGACCAGCAGCTCATTCCCCTTGAGTCYGGCCGAGAGGCTGACCCAGCAGCTCCTTTTGCTTTCTGCCGGGTGGGAAGGCCAGTACACAGGAGCAGCTTTCAGATGTGCCAGAGAAAAGCACAGGGGGGCACAACGAAGCGGTGGGGCGGCAGTCAGGCACGTAACGGCACCCAGCACTCCGGGAGCAGCGTGCTCTGAATCCGGAGCTTCTCCAGCAGGGAGCAACACAGGGCCCGCACAGGCCCGCGGGCTCCGCTGTCCTTCCACGGCGAGGGGGGAACCGCTGCCCCGTCTTGCTCGGCTGAATGCACCTCCCGAGAGGGCTGAGAGGGGTTTCCCTTCATCGAGGTCCAGCCGTAGGCTGGCTCTGCAGAGCACTTCTAGTTGGGAAGTTTCAGGTGCGCTGAGCGAACTGCAATGCTGTGTGACCCCTGCCTTCACAGCGTGGTTTTATTCCACCCTGAGGCAAATTCAGGTCTGTGTTTTTAAGGCCCTGCTGCGCCTTGTTGTTTCAAGATTCAACCTTCAATGGCCTCAGGCCAAACATCCCACATTGATTCTAGTGCCTCCTTCCCAGATTCTCTTGATGGAGAATATGGAACAGGTACCAGAAAGAAATGAAATGTGGTGGTCAAGGATGTAGAGGTGTGAGACATCTTGCCCCACTCCCCATCATCCTTCCAAGTCCTCTGGTCCCATCTGCYGAATTTTCTCAGGTAGTCCGTGCATATTATCCAAAGTTAGAAGTCAGTCGCTTGCTTGTGGGTGAACTACAGTTAACTACCAACAGGGGCTATAAAGCAAGCTGACTCACAGGAGAAGAATACTTGTTGATCCCACCTTGACAGGATAAGATTTCAGTTTATTTGCAGCATTTTCCAGCATGTAAAAACTCAGCAAACACTGAAATGTAAGAAATACTCTAACCTTTATGGTAGACTTAGTGTGTTCGTAAACAAGAAGGCAAAAAGGAGAATGCAGTAGCTTTTCACTTATGTCTGAAGGCTTCAACAGCAGTTAAGTCCTGAGGGAGAGAAGTGTTATTGCTCTGTAAATCTCTCCCTACCACGCTTGCTGGAGCATTTGAAACAAGCAGTTCTACATTGCTGTGAGTGACTGCTCRGGAAAAAACAGGGTCGAGGGAGACAACAGCGAGCGGTGTCACAGGTCGGGGCTGAGCTGTGCTGCCAGTTGTATTAATTAGCCTTGCTTGCACACTCTTGGGTTACAATCAGCATTATTCAGCTTTAATTTCATTGCCATTAACCTATGCAAAACCCCCACATGTTTGGATACAGGGAAATACGTCTGGGACATTACTGCATGGAGAGAAAGAGCAATTTTCTCACAGTCAGAAAGCAGCTAAAGAAAACGCATCATTGCTAACAGCAGCAATGTGTATTTATCAACAGTGAGGAGCTGTCAAATGCAAAAGGCATGGAGAACGTTTATGGCGATGTGACTCTGCTCTTTCCAGAAAATAAAGTTATTGCGCTTGTTCATGCAACACAGGTAAAATTTTGTGGGTTTTAGTAAACTGCCCAATGTGCAATGTGCCTCACTCAAGATATGAAGGGCAGATCTGTTCCCAAAAATGCCAGCCGCTGAATCTTGCCCATGTCTCTAAACCAGCCCCTCTGCACTGTGGCTGCATCCACCTTATCCTCAGATGAGCTTCCTCCCCCAAAAAAGACTTTTTCAGCTTCGTTTTCAGTATTAATATGACACAATTTGTGCAGCATGTGGGTCAACACATTATTATCCTACAGCTGGCAGGTTAACTGCAGCTGACTCCAGAGGTAGATGGGGGAAGTTGAAGCCCAGGATCCTGCCATACTCAGGAGCAAAGTTCTGTCTCGTTGCATCACAGTCCAGCTGAGAACAGTAGCACATCCCTTGGGAACTCCAGGCATGTCAGCAGTGAAATA